AATCGTAAAATATATCAATCATTGTCTTGATTTAAATATGATTTAAAATTTTAAAAATCTTAAATTCTAAAATTTTTGAATCCTAAATTATTAAATATTAAACCCTAAATCCTTATTCTAAACACTAAACTCTAATCTTAAGTATTGAATCCCAAAACTCTAAATCCTAAATTTTAAAATATAAATATCAAATTCTAAACTCTAATTTTAAATATTAAACCCTTAGCTTTAATAATTAAATTCTAAACCCTAAAACTCTTGAATTCTAATCCCTAAATACCAAACATTAAAGCCTAAAAAGACTACTCCCATTATTTCAAAATAACTATTATTTTTTCTTTCTGTACTTTGAATTTACCTCAAATCAATTGACGCTTTTTTACTTTTTAAGGTAAATAATTATTCTTTTTTCTTACTTTAACCATATATATCTATTTACTTTAATTAATAATCTAGTCTCAAAAGTTATTCTTTATCTTTTACTTCTTTTTAAAGAATGTTATAGATAAATACAAATATTATCCTCAAATTCTTAATTTATAAAAAAGAGTAAAAAATAACAATTATTTTAGGATAAAGAGAGTAAAATCTTTAACCCATACGTAGTATTATTCTGTAAACCTTAAACACTAAATTAAAAATTAAAAAAAAAAAACTAAAACTAAAAACAAAAAGAGGTGAGCCCTTTTTAAAATTTTATAAATTAAATATTTAATTTTCCAAAAGAATTACAATTTGAGGTTGCCAAGTAGTGGTTCCTTTTCTTTTCTTTTCTTTTCTTTTCTTTTCTTTTTTATCGGTAACTTTTTTGATGTAGGTGATCCCAATATTTCGTCCCTATATTTTAGTAATTTAACTTATCTTTTCTGACATGTATTTTTCATTCTGCATTTTGCTAAACATGTTGATGAAATGAGTGCTCTAATTTGCAGTCCTAAAAGCAAGAACTATTATATGAAAGAATAGCCTCCAACAGCATAAAATTGATCCATTTTTAATAATTTAAGCACAATACCTTTTTATTTTAAAATAAGTATTATTAATCCGAAAACTAAAAGTAATAAGTGACTCATACCTCTTCCATGTAGAGAAATGGCTGCCCAATGGGGAAATCGGGTCCACCCTCCCCATATCTTATCTCCATTTCATCAGCACGATTACAGTAAAAAACATCCAACTTTTTTAACTTTGGCCAAAGCGTTGTGTGTTTTCCTGGGTAAAAATATCTTAGTCTTCGCAACCGCATAAGTTTGAGGTCAGACAGTTGAGGAAACACAAACTTAACCACCCCATCTGTTTCTTCACGTCCCATTGCAACGATTTCATCCACTCCGCAATTATCTAGTTTTAGCTTTTGGAGTTGTTTAAGGCTTCTAGCTACTGAAGCTGGAAACACGTTTTTGATACTCCAACATCTCGAAACAATCACCGCTTCCAGACTATGAAAAGTTAGAATTCCTTCGGGATCCTTATCCCACACATGCTTCAAACTTGGTAGATCATCAATCGACAAATTTCTCAGCTGGGTCTGTACTGATTCTTTAAGGTTTATGATCTCTCCCACCTTAAACAACTCTTCTACTGAAGCACAATTCAAGATTGCTAACTTCTCTATGGACTTAAGGAAACTTCCCAGCGTATCTTTTGTAAAAATTGTCATTAAATTGTCACAACATCTAACATCTAACTCTTTGAGTTTGCAAAAGGAATCTGGAGATAGTCGGTTGTGCCATATGATTTGTAAGTTTTTCAAATCGGAGAGAGTCAAGCTTTCCAAGCTGGGAAATTTAACCTGCATAATCCATGCCAGCAAGCGAAGGGGATAAGGATAATTAATTCCAGAAGCTAAAGCCAAAACTTGCAAGTCAAGAGGTGAAAGAATTTTACTTGTTCATTGAAGAAGGGCCGTGTGTCATCTGCTTCATTTGTGCTCCTAGATTTAACCATGAATCCCCTCAATTCTGGGCAGTTTATTATACTCAATCGCTTCAAGGATGGGAATTTAACGTCACAATTACCTGGGCAGAATCGAAACAAAGTTTTGAAGTCAGGGATGGATTACAGATTTTTGTTTCATTGAGATAGATTTATATTAAAAGTTAATTTTATTTTATCAAAATTAAAGTCACGTGCCAAAGAAGAAAATAATTTAGTGATAATAAAAAATTTTAAATTCAAATTGCATAACATATGAGTGAGATGAGTCAAGAGATGAGAAAAAATTATCATTCATTATATAATTAAGATAAAAAAAATTAAAGTTACTACATTTTTTATGAGTACAATATACAATTCATATATTATAATGTAATAGGTAGATATTAATTAATCAAGACATTAAAATTCATGATACCAATTAATCAATAAACAAAATTATAAATTAAACAAAACCAACTTAAATTTACACTAGGCCTAAGAGCATTAGAACTCAATAGATCCTAAGGGTAATTAACAGCGCCTTAACAACTAAAGACGTCACTTATTTATTTTGGTTTTAGGCCAAGATTTTATTGATAAATTCAAATTTTACTCTCTTTTTTTTTTTTTTCAAACTACAAAACACATTTAAATATTTACTCACATTGTGGTTATTTTGATTTATTTTTTAAATACAAGTGATAAATGATTATTAATATTTGATAATTTATAACTATTATTATTTATAATTCAAAATATTTAATTGATTTGATTAAAACCAATAACAGATACCAATAATTTTTTGTTAAAAGCTAAAGATCTAATTAAATGAATGATAGATCATGGGAATGGATAAAAACTAAAAATAAGAGTTGGGCGGTCTCATTTACAGATTGAATGATAGATCCGAAAAAATACATAAAATAAGGCAAGTGGGATAAACACAAAAAAGAAGATAAAAGTTTACTTTGAGCTCCTCATTTTATCAAATTTAAAGGTTTTAATCCTTTATTTTATATTATGACACTTTTAATTCCTTATTTTACTATATTTATAAATTTTAACTTCTTATTTTATACTATAACATTTTTAGCTCCTCATTTATTAAAATTGAAGAAAATAATTCTCATTTTGTAACATTTTGTTAATTTTATTAATTGATTGTTAATTCTATTAATTGACTATTAATGGACTGTTAGATTATAAAAACCTTCTTCCAACTAACAGAGTTAACATAACTAATTTTATAATATTTCGTTAATTTTGTTAACTGATTATTAGTTGACTATTAGTTAGTAAAAATCTATTTTCTGGTAACAGAATTAACAATCAATATAAAGTGAGAGTTATTTTTTTTGATTTTGATAGGTGAGGGGTTAAAATCTACAAATCTAATAAGGTTAGATGTTAAAAGTATCATAATATAAGATAAAGGATTAAAACCTTCAAATTTTGAGGGGTTCAAAGTAGGTTTTTGCCCAAAGAAAAAAGTGAGGTTGTTGTAGAGGTAAACAGTTACTAGCATGTACGTTTCAAAAAAAAAAAAAAAAAACAGTTACTAGCATGTAAGAAGATTATAATCGATGAATTAATTATATTAGTCCTTGTACTTTAAATGAAAAAACTTGTCTTTTACTGTTAAAAAAATATTTCGCACATTACGCACAAAAAATAATAATAATAAAGAAGACCATCATAAAAGAACTCAAACCCACAACTTCCAGGTCGTGAGGACACAGCCTTTAACTTCTTAACCAGTTAACAAGGGGCCCTATTGTTGGCTCCCATTTTACTAACTGAATATATAACTTCATAACAGTAGTGCTATTGTGAATAGCATAGATAAGCCCGACAACATTTTCTCAACGTTAAATGGTAATTTTATTTCCCAGACTTTAAACTTACCCTTCTTAATATTGGAATTAATTTAAACATTTTTTTTTCGTTTCTTAATTCTTAAATGTGCCCAGAAAAAGCTCTTCCCTAAATTAATTTAAGTAGCTTTATTTAAAGTCCCTTAATATGGAATTTTATTATTAGTTTATTGACCAAATTAGTGCAAAAAGAAACATGCAAAATTTAAAGTTCAGGACTAAAATTAACTTTTAGTCTTTTTTTTAAATAAATAAAACGTAGAAATCTTTTTTTTATATAAATATTTTAGGATTTAAAAAATCATTGATGGTAAATCTATATTTAAAGTTGTATTTATATATATATATATATATATTTGACATAGTTAAAGTATTTCTAAATCAATTTTAATACATTTTAAAATTAATTTTTTCCCATATGATCGATATTATGGTTGCTTTCTCCAAGTTGTTTTATCTGCATAAAGTTCAA